GGAGGGGAGGGGGAGGAAAGAAAGGGGGAAGGGGAAGGGGGAGGGAGGGGGGAGGAAAGGCAGCCCAATGGGGCTCCAGAACTTAGACTCTGTCTCCCTAAGTCTGCACCCGTCACAGGCAGCTCTGTTACCCCTCCTGGGCCTCAGTAGGTCCTTTGCAGCGGAGGGTTGAGAAAAACAGCACCCATGGTCAATGTTTAAAGCAGACACAAGGCTTTGCCCCTTTGTCCCGTGGCTCCTCCTACCACCCTTCCCAGGGAACGCTGTCGGCGTTTCCATTCTCAACGTGAAGAAAGAGAAACTTTGGAGCGAGTGAGTGGCGGCCAGAGGACCCACAGCCCATAACCGAAGTGCTGAGACTGGAGCCCAGGGCTCCGGCAGGGCCTCCCCGTCAGGCACCCAGTACCGCGCCCGCCCTGCCTGCTGCCTGGCCGAGCCCTCGGAAGGGGAGAGGCGGGGCCGGCTAGGCGGGCCGGGCGGCTTTGCTCTGAGCCGGGCTTTCTTCTCCGCCCGCCGCCCACTCGCTGAGCCCGCACCGCTGAGCCCGCACCGCTGAGCCCGCACCGCTGAGCCCCCACCGCTGAGCCTCCACTCGCTGAGCCCGCACCGCTGAGCCCGCACCGCTGAGCCCGCACCGCTGCTGCCGGAGCCCAGAGGTTTCCTTTTGCTTTTGCCCGGGGCTGCTTCCTGCCTTTCTTTTGAACTGGGGTGTTGGCTCCCCGACACGCTCGCCCTCCTCCAGCGACCCCCCCACCGGGCCTGCCCCGTGATGGGCCAACTCCCGGCCCCCCCGCCCCTCTCTGCTTCATAGGAAGGCTGGCACCCAGTCCCTAGGGGACCCTCCTCCTGGAGCGGCTCCCCGCTCTCCCCGGGGGAGGTCCTGCACCTGGACAGGAGGCTCAGAGCCGATCTCTCCTGCGTCTCCGGCCCTGTTTCTCAACAAAACCTGTGCTCATTGTGGTCTGGAAATGTTCTGGCACGGGCTGAGGGTTAGAACTCAAACCCTGAGTTTGTGGGGTGGGGAGAAGCTCAGGCTCTTAGAATCTATTAGAAAAGGACACTGAGGCCTGGCCCGGAAAGGGTGGCCTCCGAGGTCCAGAATGAGAAGAGGCCCGTGGATCTCCCAGACGCAGCCCGCAAGGCCTCTGCCCTCCCTGGTGCCACATGTTTTTCTGCTTCTTCAGACGACAGGCCCTGCAGGGACCAGCCGCTGCGCTGGGGAGCGGGCTGGGGTATCCCACCCGTTGCTGCCTCACCCCCCTCAAAGCTCTGCGTCTGCACCGGCCAGGAGAAAACTAAAGCCTCTCCAGGCCCCAGGGGGCTCCTCCTGGCTCCCTGCAGCCACTCTCTCCTCTCTCATCCCCCAACACACAGACGCGCCCATCCTGCACTTCCCACAGTGCTAGCCCCACACTTCCTCCTCCAGGAAGACCTCCTTGACTAACACTTCTTGGCCCCAGTCACCCTAATAACACCACCACTACCACTGGGCTCTTCCCAAGGGCCAGACACTGTGCCAAACCCTTTACGAACGTTGCCTCCGTGAATGCAGACAACAGCCCTGTGAGGCAGGTGTGAGCTCCGTTTACAGATGAGGAAACTGGCCCAGGTCACCAGCTCGTGATGACTGCGGTCCTGCTCTGCCGTGACCAGCACCTGTGCTGGGACCCCTGCTCTCCCCAGCGCCCTGCCTCCGTCTCATCACCCCCAGGCAGCGACGAGTAGGATGGAAACTACCCAGAATCGACACACACGCCGCGTCTGACCTTTCATCGAGGTCAGCGGTCGTCACAGCAGCCTTACAGGGAGTAAGGTCCCAAGGAGGCAGTAAGCTGCCTGACGGGGGTCGCGGAGTGGGGGGCCCCCCTTCGCCCCGGCGGCAGAAGGTGGTGGAAATGGGTGCTGAGGGGTCAGTGCAAGCGAACGAGCCTCAGGCCTTCTACAAGCAGCTCGGCCCCCCACTCACTTTCTGTCTCTACTCAACTTTGGGGGCAAAGGAGGGACTCAGAATATTACCCAGATTCTCCAAGTCAGGGACAGCCCTGGGTGTTGCCAACAACACGTGTATATCTCTGTCCCCTCGCTGTGTGGACGTGGAACGGGATAGAGCAAGGGCCGCCCCACCTTCCGGGTGCCCCAGAGCTGGGGCTCCGTGGGAGGACATCCAAACCCTCATGAGTCCCCACGAGCCTCACTGAGACCACGGGTTGGAGAGACGCCAAGGGCCTGTGGGTGTTTGGCGTCGGTCCCTTCAACCCAATCAGCCGGGCATCCGACCCTGAGGGAGTGTCCTCTTTGCAGGTGAGGGTAGAGCAGAGACTCAGTGGGACCAAGAGAGTGGGGCAGCGGTGGGCAGCTCTTTGCACGGGACGGGTGTCTCCTGGAGCCCCGAGTCCCTTGGTGCCCCCTACAGCTCCGCCTCTGGCCCCTTCTGAAGGTCTTCGAGGGCACCCTCTGACCGGCCGCCCCGTACGTCCACGTGTTCCCATCTGACCTTTCACATTCTCCTCCAGGTCAGGAAGCCTCGTGTCCACTCCCTCCCACAGCATCCCCAGTGCTCACAGCTGGCTGGACCCCGAGCCCCACCCGGAGCAGCCAGGCACTGACTGAGGCCAGCACCCCGCGGTCGCCTCCCCTCGTCCCGCCACAGCCTGTTCCCTTGGGTTCTGCGATCACCCCGGGCGCCATTTCCTCCCGTGTGAGGGTTCAGGCACTGCTCGTATGTGTCAGGCACTGTGCCGGGGAGTTTAGGTGACACGTCGCCTCAGCCTGCCCACCACCCACTTGTCCGCACGTACAGACGAAGACCCCGAGGCTCAGAGGACTTGGGTGACTCCGTCGGGGGCAGAGCTAGGAAGGGGCCCGGGCTTGGGTGGCCCAGACGAGAGGCCCTGTGGGCCCCAGCATCCGATGAAAGTGTGGGCCGTCCTCGGCCAGAGCTGGGCCACTTGGGGCTGGACTGGCATATCCTCACTTTGCTGAGGAGGGAAGGGGGCGGCCCTCACGCCCACCCTTCCACAGCGCGTTTGTGCCTGGGCCGCTCTCCAGAGAGGCAGAGAAAGGAGGCCCACCACCCTGCAGAGACACTCCACTCACCACCCAGACAAGGCCCTGAGCGGTCAAGGGGGACCCTGCGTCTTCCCCTCCCTCCAACATTCCAGGGCCTGCTGCTAAGGTCCCCAGGCCGCGTGGGACCTTCCCTCCTGCCCTGGGACGCACAGGCTGAGTCCTGGGAGAGAAGGGCTTTCTCAGGCCCCAGGGAGACTCAGGGTCGGCTCAGAAAACCCCAAATGCAGACGTGACAGTGCCAGGGGAACAGTGACGAGACGGTGGGGACAACCCTCCAACAGCGTGGATTCTGACGGCGACACTGTCCTCTTTTCCTCAAGTCCTCCTGAGAAAGGATGGGTCTGGGGAAGGAGGTGGGACCAGTGAGCCCCTCAGCCTGGAAAAGGGAACTTTCTCCTGCTTCCCCAGAGAAAGGCTCCACAGAAGTCATTTCCAAATTCTTTTTAGCCACAGAACCCTGTCTTCCAATGAGACAATGTCCTACCCACTTCTCCCACACACATGTAAAACAGCTAAAGGGGAGCTGCCCTGGTCCCATTTAGTTCAACAAATACTTGCCTGACTCTAAAAACTCGCTCCTGTTTCCTCAGAGCCCCCAGGCCCTGGAGCCCAAAGCCACAGAGCTCCGGGACCCCACCTCCGGGACAGATGGCCCAGACCCTCCCCCTCCGGGAAGAGGTCATGGAGGCCCAGGCGGGGCTGAGCCGGGAAGCCTTCCTCCCCCAGAGCCGGGGGGGG